TCGGAAGTTTGACTTCTAAACTTCCTTCGATTATCATAAAGATTTAAATCTATTATTAGTCATCTATGTCGATGATCTGAAGTTAGCTGGGCCAGCACAGAACCTCACCAAAGGCTGGGAGTTACTGAGGTCCAAGTTACGAATTGAACCAGAGACTGATTTGGGTCTCTATCTTGGTTGTTTGCTTAGCAAAGGACCCAATCGCCTGCATGATGGCATAGAGGTCACTACCATGACCTACAACATGGAGGGTCTTTTAAAGCTCTGTTGAAGAGTATCTTGAACTTGTGGGGAAAGATACTAAGTTGAAACAAGTTTCAACCCCCAGTCTCCCAGAAGAGACGAAACATCATAAGTCGCGCGCTCCAGCACCTGGTGACCCCAAACATGCAGTTCAGTGTCCTTGGTGTTCAACAAAGTTCGATCCTGGATCGCCGGTTGCCTTACAGCCCGATGCCTCTGATTCTCGGCCGGAATCCGTTGAAGTCCAACGAGGTGCACTTGCTCCTCATGCTGCTAGCATCCTGATGAAGCTTTTGTATGCAGCAAGGATCGCCCGATTTGACTTGTTACGGTCAATCAATACATTAGCACGAAATGTGACGAAATGGTCCATTCAAGATGATGCAAAGTTATACCATCTGATGTGCTATGTCAACTCTACATTAGGGAAGAGAATGATTGGATGGGTCGGCAATGACATGAAAGACTTATCCATTGCGTTGTATGCAGATGCTGATTTTGCCGGATGTGCACAGTCCTTGAGGTCTACTTCAGGTTCTCATATGCATATTCAGGGGAAACGTACTCGGTTTCCACTAGCTGGTGGGAGCAAACGCCAGGGGTGTGTGAGCCATTCTACACCTGAGGCTGAGATCGTAGCCGCTGATGTAACCCTTCGAACAATGGGTCTTCCTGCACTCAGTATTTGGGAAACGCTGACAGATTCATCTCCAAAATTGTTGTTTCATGATGACAATCAAGGGATGATTGGTGTGGTTCGTTCTGGAAGGAATCCAACAATGCGGCATCTGGAAAGGACTCATGGAATTTCTATTACATCCTTACATGAGCATTTCAGCAAAGACCACTTCGTTCTCAAGTACGAGATTACAGCGAAGATGGCCGCGGACATCCACACGAAAGGTTTTACCAACCCACCTGGAAAAAGGCTTGTATGTTAATCAATCTTTTGGACCCCGAAGACCTTGGTTCGAAGCAATTGGCAGACTTAATGCAGCCCACTACGGATGTTGACACTACAGTTCGGCAAGTTTTCCAATCAAGGACGGATGAGGTCCCCAATTTTCCATACACTGAAACACCCATACTGCCACCTGAGGTGTATCGTAAGGGTCTTTCAAGTCGAGAAAAGCTTCAAGAATTACCTGGTATGGATCCCATATTTGTGGTCAAGACTCCTACTTTGTTCAGAACAAGACCAGCTGGTGTCAAGCTTCCTGCAGATTGCCTTCGGAGCACCTGGATCTTAGTCCACGGGAAGTGGGAACAAGTTGACATTGAGGATCGTGTTCCACCATTGTTACAACAATCACGTTTTGACAAATGGATTGAACGGGCATGTTTCCAGTATCACCGTCCCACTTCCGCTCCGGTTGTCTCACTGCCCGTAAGCGTGTCCGCGGCGGCCAGTTCTCGTGGAAATCAATCCACGGTGTTCCAACGTACGTCGACGTCGGAACTGAATCATCCGAGCCTCACATTCAGTACTGAAATTCTCTTTGAACAAGCTCAACGTCATCAGAAGATTCCGTATTCACTTTATGAAGGGAATCCCATGACTATTAGGGTGATCAATGCCCAGGTACGCCTTGTTCATGGGGGGAGAGGCATGGAGGATTCGAAACAGTTCAAAGACCCCAAGACGTTAAACAAATCGTTTATGGGGTTATTGCAAATGAAGAAACCGCCGAAACGTAGAAGAAATATCAAGAAAGTAGCATCGGCAACTGAATGTGGTCAAGATGAAGTACAAGTTCATGATGAATGGAGATGGGTAGGAAGTCACATTTTGGAGAGGATCCACAACATACCGAGAAGAGAAATGTTCGTTCCAAGTGATTGTGGTGATTGTCCCTGTGATCATCGTTTGATTCAAGATTGGAGAGAAACTCAACAGAAGTTCCAGTCGAACGTGAGGATGGACAAAAGTAATTGGCGTCTCCCTGGTAACGACGGTGAGAGGTCGAACAGTCGAAATGAGTTCTGGACCGGAAAGTCTATCTTTCGTGTTCTAAGACATCATGAAGTTCAGCCGGTTGCGAGTTGCATTATGGATGATAATCTGATGGCTTGTGTTAACACCAAGGGTCTGGACATCATTTCCTACAACAAAATATTTATCCCCCACACATACCGAACGGTGATTGAAGACAACAAGAATGAGAATGAGTTGAATATATTTGCGGACAGTTTGATCAATCTGGTATTGGTTCGTGACAATGGGCAATGCATGAAGTATACCTTCTTCAGATCTATT